ATATTGTCTTTCATTTTCTGCTCACACCATCCTCCTGGACTCGATCTCCTTTTCTCACCTCCCCACCCTGCACCCCCAACCCCCCCCCAGGGCGTGCCTCAGCTGGCTATCTGTCTGGTGGAGGAATCAGAGGACCACATCAAGGCTGCGACAGCCTGGGCCCTGGGTCAGATTGGGAGGCACTCACCGGAACACGCCCGAGCCGTGGCGGCGGCCAATGTTCTACCCCGACTGCTTAGGCTGTACACGGACACAGAGAGCTCCGAGGACCTTCAGCTCAAGGTGGGCCGTGCAGGACACACTGCTTAGCATGCTTTTACCTCTGGGTCTTCTGTTCCAGATTCAGTCATATGTATGTCATTAAGTTTAAGGACCACAATATGAATAATAACTGTGTTAAGGAAGGAAGGTGTTTGGCCATATATATATACACACACACACAGCAAAGTCCCTTAACGTCCCCCTTGAATCCTCTCAGACTAAGAAGGCTTTGAAGAGCATCCTGCAGAAGTGCACCTACCTGCCAGCTCTGGAGCCCCTGCTCCACGAGGCTCCCAGCGACATCCTCAAGCACGTCGTCGGCCAGTTCAGTAAGGTGTGGGCAGGCGTACACCCGTCCCCACCCCCCGGTTAAACCACTGTCTCGCATTCCAGTTCAAAGAAGCAGGGCTGAGTGCCATCAGCGGAAGCCCACCAGCGGAGGCACTAATGTTGGGCAATGGTGTGTCTTCAGGTGCTGCCCCATGACAGCAAGGCGCGGCGTCTGTTTGTCACCAGCGGGGGGCTGAAGAAGGTCCAGGAGATCAAGGCAGAGCCTGGCTCTCTCCTGCAGGAGAACATAAACTCCATAAACAGCTGTTACCCCGAGGAGATCGTCAGGTGCACTGCTGGCCTCTTTTTCAACTTCTCCGTCTTCTGCTTCCACCGCTCACCATTTCATGACTGGTCTTGTACTTCCAGGTACTACTCCCCAGGCTACTCTGAGATCCTCCTAGAAAGGGTGGAGGCGTACCAGCCAACATGATTCCCCGCGGATACCTCCAGCATTTTATCACTCAACAAAATTACAGGAAATTACAGAAATTACAGCTACTGTAACGATGAATGTCTGCATCTTAGGCGATGAAAATGTCAAACATTCATTGTCAGTCTGAGAAACATCTGTATTTTATTATATGTAGCCCTGATTACAGTTATCGTTCTGCTAGACAAATTCTTTGGTTTTACATAAATGTCGGTCATTTGTCAGCAGGGGTATAAATGAACAAACTACAAATACTCTCATTACTCTAACTGAGTTTTTTTTTTAATAATTTGTACTTTATGAAGTAGTTTAAAATTGGTGTACTTTTACTTGTACTGTCATATAAAGTGCTGTAAAGCAAATTTCACTCTGCTATTTATCCCCCAAGTGTGTCTGCTAAGGATGTGCAGGAATTGATGTGGAAATATTGATTCTATCCCGTACTGGATATTGGGTGTTTCGTTTTGATTTTAACATTACAATATTGACTTCAAAGGTAATTTAAATGTTTACACTAGTATAGGAAGAAGGACATAGGGGTTCCTATAAGGGGGAAGAAAGGGGAGGACTTTCAGGGGTCTCGACATTATTGACTAGGGGAATGGAACGACTGATCTGCCGGTAACCATCGCTTAGCAAATAACCCCCCATTCTTACCGTAGGGGGTTGGGTACCAAATATAGGGATCTGTAATAACAACCTTGGTATTGGATCTAATCGGACTGAAAAGAAAATCGGTGGAATTCCCCATCCCCGGTGTCCGCTACTTCCCTAGCTTTATCGCTTGCCACTGATTTTATTAGTTCATGTTCAACAACGATTGGACCATTTATTTCCCATAACCAATCAAGTCATGCCTAAACTCAATAGTTGATTGACCAAAAAGTTAACAGCCACTAATAACAATGGAGCTTGTGGTGGGAGACTCTTCATTCACCTGTGAGACTTTTTCAAACCCAAGAAGGAGAATGTCACGTCAGTTTCGCCTTCGTGAGCCTGTTATCTGTATTCAACTCCATCTCTAATTTGAATAAATGTATCAAGGTAAGTTTTAGTTTTATCACATCCTTTAGACCTGGTTAGCTATCAGAGGTGGAGATTTCAGGTCCAGAGAGTACAAATCCAGACCAAGATTTTGTTTCAACCAACCAGTTGAGTATAAAGAGTAACAGTCACAGAGAACTGAACTGGTTGGTTGAAACAAAATCTTGGTCTGGACTTGTACTCTCTGGACCTGAAATCTCCATCTCTGCTAGCCAGGTTAGCTTGCTCTCAACATTAAACACCCAGCAAAATTCAGAGTTTGTGATAATGCTTTATGTTATTTTTTAGCTATAAGCACAAAATTAGATTAAACTATTTATTTCATTTGCAATCAAATTTTGGGTAGCTTGACCAGGGGTATCGTCAAGCCTATTTTGGGGGGGCTTTTTGTTTTTTGCCCCCCCTCAAAACAAACGTGTATTTATTGGTTTAAGTGATGAATAGCTTGTTATTATTCAGTAGTAAGTTTGCCATCACCCCCCCCCCCAAGTAAAGACTCAGTTTCCCGATCCATTCATCTCTAACTACACCTCTGAGCTTGACCAACTAGCCAGCTACTTCATTGTAGGCCGTCACTTCTGTTATCCGGCTGTGTAACGGTGCTGCTGTGTGTGTGAAATACCCACTATGTCAATTTGTGGCTCCGCATTATATTGTTAGTTACAGCTTGTTTTAGTAAAATATCCCCGAGTTTCACCACAAAGTTCAGCACCAGAGAGGGTTTTGTATCAATGTACTGTATAAAAAACAAGCTGCCTGGGTCTGTCTCCAGCATGCAGACACCTTTCCAGTTACACCGGCCAGCTGTGTGCACCTAACCAAGCCAGGCTGAGCAGTACAGAATCTAAGAATCAGATCATTCCGAAACTAAACTGGAAATTCAAATTTTAGGCCCGTTGTTGTTGATCATGCAGTAAACCTACAATAAGGTCATTTCAAGAACGTGCAAGATTTTTTGCACCAAACGGAAAAGCATATTTTCAGTTGATTTAGAAATAGGCCTACATATGGTATTTAAATAAACGCCCGTGTCACGCTCACTGTTGCCGTACAATAATCACATCCCATAATACCCCATTGCTCTTGCAGTGAGCTGTCCTTGGAAATTAATGTCACAAATCAAAGGAACATGACAGCTACTGACAAGCCACATTAAAAGTTTGTTGTTTTGCTCCGTTGCCTAACAGGACTTTCAGTGGAATTTTAATTAGAATGTGCTGTAGAGAGACCCAATAAGAGGACATCTGTAACTGTATCATGCAACACGGATTTAACCCACCTGGGGCAGATTCAAAGCCCGCTGACTTGGGATTTGTATTTCACATTCATTTGAGAGTGCGGTTAGCAGAGTAACTGCCCAAACATCTCAATCCTTTATT